GCTCTCAAAATATTGTCTCTGTCTAAGGTTTTCATCATTTTTATCAGAATGTGTCTTGGAGTATAGTTATTGGAATTTCTTCTGACTGCTACACTTCGGGTCTCCTGAATGTGGTCGCGTGTGTTCTTCAGCTCTGGGTATGTTGTAGCAATGATGTCTTTGTTGTAGCAATGGTTTCTTCTTCATCAGGGTTTTCTTCCTGTCCCTTTAGGACTTTTATAATTCTTATGTTATTCCTCTTGGCTTCATCCCGATCTTCTCTTGATATCAGTTCCCAGGTAGTGAGTCTCTTTTCCATTTTCTTCTGTTGTCTGGAGAGTCTCTGCACTTTGTCTTCCAGCTCACTGATTCTGTCCTCAGCCGCTGTTTCTCTGCTACTGAAGCCATCCACTGAGTTTTTCAATTCGCCTATCAGGTTTTTCAAGTCTGGTATTTCCATTTGTAATTTTGTTTGCATTTTCCTCATTTTGACTTTCAAATCCTCTTGCATTGTATTGCTAGTGTGTTCCATTGCTTCTTTTTAGCTCCCTATGCATCCTCATTAGCTCCCTTCTAAATTGAGTTTCAGAGAGGTTGTCTAGTGCTTCATTACTATTGGGGTGTTCTGGGTTAGACTCTTCACAAAGTAAGCTTGGTAGGCATCTGCATTGCTTTACCATTGTGAATTGTATGGTTTAGACCTTCATGCACCCTTTTAAGTTTTCGGTTTGGGTGTAGTCTTAAGTGAGGTGGGGCTAATGACTTATTGGCTTAATGTGTTTCTGGTGGTTAAGGTGACTTAATGAAAGTTCCTCCTAAGGGGATAATTTATGGTTCTAACAGGATATAGAGGGGGAGAATAATTCGCTGCTGAATTAGTAGCCAGAGCTCCAGTAAAGAACCCATCTGCCCGGGGGTACCTGGGTGGATGCGGAAAGAAGTTCCCCAGAACTTGGAGCTATAGATGCACATTGTGTTCCTTGGTTCCCATCCCCCACAGTTCCAGGTGAAAAACCGGCCGGGAGGGGCTGCTTGAACACGCTCAGCCACAGCTCCGGGGAAACTGAAACTTTTTAAAATTCTATTACCTATGTTATAACTAACTTTAAAAAATTTGTTAGAAAAAAATGTTAGAAATGCCATAAAGTCTGCACATAGATCTTGTTTACAAGTATTGGCACTGTGCAAGCGTTGCCACAGAACAGTGCACTGATCGCTCACCCCAGGAGCTTTCTGTTGTCCCAGTAATTCCTCTTTCCCACCCTACCCAGCCTCCTACACGCTGCCAGACCATGCATTCAGGTTAGAAGCATCAGATAGACATTGATTCATTGCTGAGGAGTGATCCACTGTATCATCATATTGAATTTGTTTCTCCACACATGAATGTGCATCTGGAATTTGCTCAGTGCCTGGCTGTTATAAAGATATTTAGTCATACTCTGTAGATTTAGGAGAAGACAGGTTGATAGCATTATAAAAAATGATAGAATAAAGTTAGGAAGCAGCAAAAGAACAAATATCTCTCACTTCTCAGAGAACTGAAGTCATGGTGCCAAACACAAAGTAGAGATGGGAAAACTCAGACCCTCTTTTAATTTACCACTATAATGTCAAAGACTATGGTGCTTTTTCCTCTGTCCCTCCAGGGTCAGTCTCAAAAGGTGAGACAGACTCTGTGTCATGTCCTGGTTGCAAGTTATCCTCAAAAGCCTTGACCAAGGAAATAGCCTGAAAGGTTTTTAATTGATTTTTTAAAAAATATGCGACAGCGAGGGGAGGTCAGAGGTAATGGGTCACTCCTGGTGGTGCTCAGGCCTTATTCCTGACTCTGTGCACAGAGAATCACTCCTGTGGGGATCAAGGTTTGTGTGTTGGAGGGACAGAAATCATATCAGGTTGCTCAGGCCAAATGCAAGGCAAGGCCCTGCCCACTGTGCCATCTCTCTGGCCCCAGTTTGACCATTTATTGAACACAAAATCTGCTCCACTACCCAAGCACCTTAGCTCCAAACATACGAACCACTGTTTCCCTTAATATGTTTAAGAGTTAGATAGCTTAAGAGCAGGATTGGGATATTCATACAGCTGTGGCCATAGGGTGATCACACAATCAGCAATCACATTTAAAGCATGACACAGTGATGGTAATTTCCTACTCTATTCTTGTATGGAGCACAGTCCTGAGAGTTTTCTAATCTTGCCTGCCTTGAATCCCACTAGAGAGTCCCAGAATACTCAGGGGACCACCCCCAACTTTGGGCACATTACTAAGGGGACAGTGTCCACTGGACGCGTGGAGGTGTTGGAGTTCTCCTTGGCACAGCCCCTTGGCCACTAGAGGACATTGGACCTTAGAGAGTTTCCCAAACTGCATCTTCTCTGACTTTTCTAATAATAATGTAGATTAATGGAACTTGATTTTCTGATGACCAGTGGGAAAGAGACATCTCTGGTGTCAGCAATACTTCAACCTTGCCTCTGCCTTGTAGCATCAAGGCCAGTGCTCCAGCAGCTTCTTCAAGGCATAACAATCCCCTGTTTCTCTCTGCGACCTGCTTCTTAGTGCAGACAGGCATTCTCCCTCAGCCTCTATGGACCCACTGCTCTCCTAATAAACTGTCATATGACTAAGGGTCAATGACCCATGTGGGTGACTATGTCTCCGCCAAGCTGCACTCATAAACCTTTGAGCGTCTACTGCCTAAGACAGACGACCATCTCCTTGTTCCCAGAGCCCCTGTACTCATGAGATAACTACGTGCAGGGAGATGGGGATCCAAGCATTTGAGCAATGTCCTCTGCAAGGGGGACGTTTCCCCAGTCCCACGGAGAATCTCCTCACTTCATGATGAAACCTCATCAGGGAAGACAGGGCATGGATAGGACTATCTGGGATTTTTGAACTCACACCTTTGAGAGGAGAGGATTTTCCTGAGACTCTAGAAAGGGCAGAAAACGTGCCCCCAGTGTCAGTCAAAACATTTCCTTTCTTCCTGTCATTTAGAATGTGACCTGAGTGTCCCCTTTAGAGATGTTGAACACAGGAGCCTGTGTGCCTTGAGCCTCCCCAAAACAGGAAACTGAAAGTCTCCTCCAGGGACTGAGTGAGGGGAACTGAGGTTCCTGTTTGTCCCAGGACACAGAAAGATGGTTAGACCTGAGTCAGGCTGGGAGACTCCCCCACACCTCTGCTCACCAAGGAGCACTTCCTGTCCCAGTGCCCTGTCTGTGTGCAGGTGGGACAACCATTCTGAGCCCCTGGGACTTGGTGAAGGGCCTGAGAGATTGAAACAGGTTCAAGTCTTGGAGTTCAGGGAATCAGATATTGTGAGGATTCAGAGATCGAAGTCAGGTTTAAAGCTCTTTCCCCCAAAACTCAACTGTGTGGATCAGTTCTCCTGTTGCACTGTTCTTAGCCATTGTTGCTACCTCACGGTGTATCCTTTAAGCCCATATTATGAGACAGATGATTCTTTATCTCTCCCTTTTCTGCTGACTGGTTCACTCAGCATGATATCCTCTAGTTTTTACTATGTTTCAGAAAGTTGAGTGATTTTCAACTCAGTAAGGAGGGTAAGGCCCACAGAGGGTAGACAGGATTAGGACTCTTTCCAGGTGTTCCTCATGTATGTAAAATTTATGAGTAAAATGTCTTCAGAGCAATGCCCCAGACTTTCTGGATTCAGTTGGAAGTGTGTAGCACTAGGAGAGTTGTAAAAAATCTCCGAGGGCGGCCCGGGAATTGCCCCGACGACTCTTCCCCGAGCCGCCCAGGATCCTGGGGGGCCCGGGACACTCTCCCATCCCTGGCCATGGGGCAGACGGTGCATGAAGCCAGGGCCAAGCCGGATGATTTATCAGATGCTTTTTATTCCATTCTCATCCCCCTTCACTCCTGTCTCTCTCTCTCTCCTTCTCTCTAGGGCCCCAATCTGGAACTCCTGGTCCTTCTCACTCTGTCTCTGGTCCTTATCCCCCAGCCCACTCTTACAGTCTAGTTATATCCCAAAACCATGAGAGGCTGGGCTCACACATGGGTGTGGTCACACTAGATAGGGTTAAAATTGTCTCCCTCAAGGGATGCTTCTTCTAGGACAGAGTCTCTTTCCGCAGGAATCCCATAGGTGTGTTTCTCCTCTCCTTGTCCAACAAACATATAAGCAATTATAATATTATTCATTTTGTATAAACACAGAGATGCATTAAGCTTATAGAATTGCTCTCCTGGGGTCATCTCGATCATAGCCTACAGTGCTCAGGCCAGATTAGTCTTTCCTATCCCTAGCAGGGTCCTAGTATCATTGTTACTTTTGGATCATGAGAGCATTTGTTCGTGATCAAACTCTTAACTTATAGTTAAAAATTGTGGCACTTTGGCCAGGTCCATCTTGATGCCAGAGTAGCACATAACTTACCGTTTGCCTGGTTCCACCCAGTCCCTCATTGGGACCCTGCTTTGGGGGGCACTAGGAAGTGAGAGTAACTGAGGCTTAAGTTGAGAAAGTTGATGCCTGGGAATGAATAATATTCTAAGTCAATTAAATCCCATGTTACAAAAGCATAATATTAATTATCTTCTTGTGTCTATACCAAAGGACATTGTTTTAAAGTAATTTATCTAAGAGAAAAGGATTTCTTACAGAGATAGAATTTCAAAAATGTGGAGAAATGGGGTTCTGCCATGAGTAGACCTAACGTTCAGAAACCTCCAACGACCCCAGCTCAAACTTCCACGTGGTTCTTCCTGTACCATCTGGGGTGCTCCACACAAAATCCTAGAAGAAAATATGAATAACACCGGGTGTTCTAGAGAGAGGCCATCTCCCTCCTGGCTATTGCTGAAGGACAGAGAGATCCTGAGCCTTTCCCTCAAATGAAGCCTGGCCCTGTGAACCCCATTCTGTGTCTCAGACCTTGACACTCTGAAGGGGAAGTCAGGAGGGTCAGTGTCCCTGTCATCCCCTCACCCAGCACAGCTGCCTCCCCTTCAGTTTTCTGACACATTCAGGATGTGGTTGTCACACTGTGTTTCTTGCACAGTAATACACGGCTGTGTCCTCGGTGCTCAGCCTGCTCAGTTCCATGTAGGCTGTGTCCTTGGACTTGTCTGCAGTGAGTGTGAGTCTGCCCTGGAACTTTTGTGCGTAGTTTGTATTACCATTACCAGGATATATGTTTCCCATCCACTCAAGCCCTTGTCCTGGGGTCTGCCGCAACCAGTGCATCCAGTAGTCAGTGAAGGTGTATCCGGACGCCTTGCAGGAGATCTTCACTGATGTCCCAGGTTTTCCAACCTCAGCCCCCGACTGCACCAACTGCACTTGGGAGTTCACACCTGTGGACAGAAGACAGAATTGGGTGTACTCCACTTGACTGACCCCGTTCCCTCAGCCCAAGGCACGGGGACACTTACCTGCAGCCACTGCCACCAGGAAGAGAATTCTCCAGGTCCAGTCCATGGTGGGGACCGTGCACTCAGGGGCTTCTGAAGGTGTGGGTGTGCCTGCTGTATGAGGTTGTCAGGACACAGACACATCTGTATTTAACTCAGTATCCCTTGCATAATTTGCATATTCATGAGGAGGGAGAACTCATAGCTGAAGGTCTGGTCCAACCTGTGAAGGGGCTGGTGGAAGTCACCGGGTCCATCTACAAGGGGAGTGAAGAGGTCCACATTCTGACCCTTGTTTGAGGAAATGAGTCCCTGTCCTGTCCCAGGACTCTGTGCACACAGAGCTCCCCCTCTGGAGCGCCAACCCTTTCAGGACCTTCCCCTCCGGGCCCTCCACATATCTGTGGCCTGGACACATCTTGACACACCGGGGCCCTAAGATTATTTCTGGGATCCTGTAACTCCCCAAGGCATACTACAATGAGATTACAAAACAATCCTAGTGCCCCAGAGGTTTCCACTGGGGATATTAAGAAGTCCAGAAACACCCCCTGCATAAAGATTTTACTGCCTTATCAATACGATAAATGTTCCTCCTAAAACAGTTAAGTTAGCACAATTTAACCTTCTGTGTCCTATACTTATTTTTGTTTTGGTTTTCTCAACAAAGCAAAATTTAGTTTTCTGGGTTTTTGAAAATGTTTTTATTTATTATTTTTATTAAATCTCTGCGAGATAGACCCTTACAAAGCTGTTCGTGATTTGATTTCAGTCACAGAGTATTCCTGGTTTTGAAGAGAAATCCTTTACATCTCTGCACCCCTTCAGGCCTGCAACTCTGGTCTTGAGTCTTGGCGCCCCCTGCAGCCCGGTCCCCACCCTGCAGGGAGATTCTCTGCGCTCCCAGGCTCTTTAGCCTCTTGGTGTCTCTAACACAGGATTGAATCCTGGGACTTCAGTTCAGAAGCCTTATTCACTAGTCATATTCTTTTCTGGGTATCTTGTTTTGGTTTTGAGCCACACCTGGCAGTTCTGAGGACTTACTCTTGGCTCTGTGCTCTGAAATTTCTAGGTAGATGCATCCTAAGAAAATATTTGCAAATCAAATAGTTATATATCTAACAATTGAAAGGTGACACCGAGTATTCTTTGCTGAAATTATGTAAAAGTAATACAATAAATACTTAATTCACTCAAATAAAAACCATCAAAATAAAAGGATTTAAGTCTTTAAGTAAAAACTTTAATATAAACAAATATATATTAAATTGGTTAAATTTATGAAGGCTGTTTCAAAACCCAGCCATGAGTCGAACACAGCTGCCAACAAGTTTATTTTATAACTGTATTAATAGTATAAATATAAGTAAATTAATGAATAGCACTGTAGCAGTTTCCTCCCATTGTTTGCTGGAGTGGGCCCAGTAACGTCTGCATTGTGACACTTGTTGTGATTATATTTGGCATATCAAATGTGGCATGGGGAGCTTGCCAGGCTCTGCCATGCAAGCGGGATACTCTCGGTAGCTTGCTGGGCTCTCCAAGAGGGGCGCAGGAAATTGGATCGGCTGGTGAGCCATGTGTAAGGCAAACGTCCAATCCCTGTGCTATCCCTCCAACCAACTCTCCTAACCACCCACTCACTTTTATCCGGTAATGCGCATGATCCAAGGTCTTGGGGCAAAACTATGTCAACCGATTTGCCCAAGTAAGAATGAAACTCATGGGAAAGCCGCACTTAGGGTCTGTAATCATAGCAGGGGTCATCATGGTGCAGCTTCCCCTCTGACCCCTCCAGTATTTACTCACTGGCCAGGCCACGCGTAGCAGTGCCCAGGTCAGACACCCACTGGGGGTCCGGCAGTATCTGCTGAGTATGGGGCTAGAGTCCCCGGGTCTGATCTCTTGCTCTGGGTCCCGGCTTCTGGCGTCCTGTCCTCTGGCCGTGGTGGGTCAGGTTGCACGCCTCAAGACACATGGGTGGTCCCCATACGCCCCCAGCTGGGGGGCTCCCTTCGGCTGGGTGAAGGGGGAGACTTGCCTGGCGTAGGCCGCTGCCCCCAGCCTTCGAGTTGGTCGTGGTGGCCTTGGCTCCCCAGAGACAGTGGGCCCAGCACGAGCCCCAGGCCTGGCCACCACACACTCATGGCGAGCTGAGTTCGGAAGGGGACGGGCAGGACACGCAGTGTCCCACGCGCCCGACGTGCCCCAGGCATCCCTGGCCAGGCCGCTACCTGCTGTCGGCCAGTGCTGTGGCCACACTGCGGGTCCTGCCCTTGCGACCCCACGGATGGGAGGCCCACGCCCAGCCCCCGGCCACGCCAGCCTCCGTACCAGTCCTTGCCACTGCGCGTCTCCCCACCCTGCAGCAGTTCCAGCCCTGCTTGGCCCAGAGTTACCTGCGGACCATCCAGTCCCACCTCGTCCTTCCCACCCGCCCGCATCAACCGCCTGGGCCGGGGCGTAGGAATGAATACAATAAAATAGTTAAGATTTATTGGACACATGACATGAATCCTGACATTTTGACTTAATCACTTAACTTCCTGTTAGTCGTTGATTTGCTTGAGCGGGCGCCAGTAACATCTCCATTTGTCCCTGTCACATGCTAGTGTAGCCCAATGGCGTTTGTTCGCTCTGGGAACATGAAGGGCCTCAAACCTATCGTTCATGATCTTGATGAAGAAGTCTGACAATCTGGTAGGTGGGCGGCCACGCGGTCTTTGACATCCCATGGAATACAGTTGGTAACAGCTCTAGTCCAGCGGTCGTCTTTAAATCTCATTACGTGACCAGCCCATCTGATTTTCGACACCTTGGCAAATGAGACAGCGTCCCTGATCCTTGATCGTCGACGGATGTCAGAACTCCGGATTCTTTCTCTCATTTGAGTGAAAAGTTATATTCCAAGCATAGCTCTTTCTATTCTTCTTTGGGAGACCTGAATAGCGTTCTCATCTTGCTTGCGTAGGTCCCAGATCTCTGAGGCATATGTTAATGCAGGAAGAACAGTGGAATCAAAGAGATGTGCCCGGAGCCGGAGGTTCTTCGTCCTCTTAGCTATATCTTCAACGTTCTTGAAGGCGTTCCAAGCCGCTCTCTTCCTCCTACGCAGCTCGGGTGCCAGGTCATTTGTCATGTTGACCTCTCGACCTAGGTACACATAGCTGTTGCATTCGGAGAGGGTCGTTCCATTGAGAGCGAATGGGGCATCAGGAACAAGGCTGTTTCTCATAAACATTGTCTTCATAAGGTTCAGCTGTAGTCCTACCTTTCCACACTCGCGGTCAAAGTCAGCCAGCATTTGTGCCGCTTGGCTGATGTTTGGTGTTATTAAAAAAATGCCATCAGCAAAGCGGAGGTGGTCTAGTTGCAGACCATCTATCTTCACTCCCATTCCTTCCCATTCCGTCGTCGGATGATGTTCTCGAGGGTGGCACTGAAGAGTTTCGGTGAAATGGTATCACCCTGCCGAACCCCTCTCTTGACATCAATGATTACTTCTTTGTAGAATGGTGAGATCCTGGTAGTGAATCCGCAGTACAGTTCACAGAGGATCTTGATGTATTGGGCTTGAATGCCCTAATTGGCTAGGACTTCAATGACCGCTTCCATCTCAACAGAATCAAAGGCCTTCTTTCAATCAATGAACGTTAAACAGAGCGGCATCTTGAACTCCTGAGAAACCTCAAAGAGCTTGGTTATCGTGTGAATATGGTGGATGGTGCTGAATCCTTTGCGGAACCTGCCTTGCTTGCATGGTTGTCCTTCATCTAGTGTTCTGCCAATCCTATTTAGGATGACTCGAGTGAACAACTTGTAGATGACAGACAATAGGCGGATCGGGTGATAGTTGCCAATGTCATGGATGTCTCCCTTCTTGAACAGTAGTACAGTCCTGCTGGTTTTCCACTGGAACCTTGCATTCAGACAGGTAGCATGTGAATAGCCGAGCCAGTGTATTGATGAGTACTGAGGGCAGGTTCTTCAGGTGTTCAGGTCTGACATTTACTGGGCCGGGTGCTGTTCGTTTCTTTACTGACGAAATGGCGTGTCGGATTTCAGAAGGGAGAACGTTGGGAACGACATATCCATCCTGTGGAATTTGGTATGTCAGCAAGTAGACATGGCTATCGAAGAGATTTGAGAAGTCATGGATAATCTTCTCCATTGCGGTTCTGGAGGATATGATGGATCCATCAGGACGTCGGAGTGCAGTCATCTTGATCTTGTAGTTGGCGAAGGACAGACAGGCGTTACGAATACTTTTCCCGGCTTCTGCTGCATCTACCAGCACTTCTACTCTCCTCTCTCTGAGGTCTTCCTTGATCGCATCTCTGCACTGCTTTGCGAGCTCGGACATTAGCTTGCGGTTGCCTGAGGCATATGCTAAACCACGCTGGCGAATTAGCTCAGGAGTTTTCGAAGACAGGCATTTTTTTTGTGGCTATCTCTCTCTTGGCGTTCCTCGCACATTCATGGATGTGCTGTACCAGTCGATCGTATTCCTCATCACTGTTGTCAACAATGGCATCTTCCCATGTTGCCGCAATAGTGCCAAAGAGCTCTCAGTTGGTGGTCGTTCTGGGAGTTCTCTTTGTAAACTTTGCCACCCTTTCTCCCCACTGTGTCAAGTAGAATTTTTCACGAAGGAGATGGTGGTCCGATCCCGTTCGGAATTTTGGAACAACAGCGACATCGGTCAGGCAAAACCGTCGATTGAATATGATGCGGTCTATTTCGTTGTGGAATCGTTCACCGGGAGACTCCCATGTCCAACGTCATTACAACTGGTCTCATTCACCTGACCCTGAAGGCTTCACCAACATGGCAGCACTGAGAAGGATGAGAAAGGAGAGGCTGATAAAATCTCAAGGCCGAACTAGGCTGCCACAACGAAGGAAGACAAAAATGATCGTCTGTACTTTCAATGCACGTATGCTAGCATCAGATGCATCCATCGAGGACCTGATGGTACAAGCGCGAATAATCAAGTACGACATCATTGGTCTGACCGAGACAAGAAGGCACGAATCTCAACATGCCGTTTTTGACATGGGAGAAGAA